AGTTCCACGTCGGAGGTTACTTCACATCTGCCTTCAGGGGGCACAGATGCAGAAATTGAAGATCAAACAGCATCAATGGCACTCTCTAAGCGAAGCAAATAGTGTTAAAATATGTCCGCATGGCAATTCGATTAATGCTGCCCATTGCTATTGCTTTCTTTTCCCTTGTTTCTTCCTCCTTCTCCTTTTTCTCGTTATTTTTTTGGCTTCGTTGGCATCCAATTAGTGTGGCCGTGATGATCACCCTTCCCGTGTCCATGTGGCTTTTTTGTAGAGGCTTGAGGTGGACACCCGCTCTTGCCTGGGCGAAAAGCACTTTTCAAGCAGGCAGCTGTCAGTCCAAATGCCATGCGATTGTGCATGTGTGTGGTCCTTCTCTCGAATCGCATCATCATTTACGCATCCACCACTTTTTCTGTCTTTTTCTCTGGGTCATTCTCACCACGACCTCCCACTCGACTGTGGTATCCGCGATGTTGGATACTGAGGGAATGGGAAGGAGCAATGGGTCGTAGGTTGGAGAACCCGATGCCACATCTCGCTTGTTTTTTGTCTGGAGAAAAAAAGGGAGCGCGCCACTTGCACCAGTGATGGACAGAAAGTAATCCTTTATTACTTTTCCTAGTTGAATTTGGAGAGCACCGTAGAAGTGCGGACCCAATCCTTGAAGGAAAGCAGTAAGATGTCCGTAGCATGGACTGCAGCACTAGAAGAACTTTGGACACCACTTGGTGCAGCGTCACACATATGTGACACTGCAATGTACTGACCTGACCTCGAAGTCACAAATGCGTGGGGTGTGATGTTACTCTTTTAGTGGAATGGGAAAACCATACAACGAAACTTTAAATGAGGAAGCGCGAATTCGTCTCACAAGAGCGTCACATGCCTACTTCAGATTTTTCTTTACCCTCGTGCAAACAGGACGTCACCACGAGGTCTTGTCCGACACCACGATACACAGACGAGGTGCCGTACTTCATTACAAACCTCACATTATCCGTCATGCATCTTTCCTCCAACTGGCGGCCCTATTGCCCAACTGCATGACACGACGGGTGGACACTTTGTCCTTCACTCGATCGACGAGGAGGCTCCCTCACCCATTTGAAGATATATGTGGGTGGTGGAGAGGAGTTTAGGAGAGAATTTACCTTTTTTGTTGCGCTCCTCTGCTCTCTCAATTCGACCCGGATCAGTTCGTTGACTAGGCTGTTGCCTAGGAACCAGTTGCACGAATCCATTCCATCGTCACCTTATGCCCTTGCTAATGGCGATTCTCGGACGGATGCAAAAGTCCATACGTGGCCTCAAGGCACTTGTAAATGCAGAGGTCAAGTCAACGCGACTTGGACAGATGGTCTGCGCATTTATCATTTCAAGCATTGATGGTAGAGATGTAATGAGAGATAGGCGCACCAGTTGATGGAGGCATGGACAGTAGGTGATCAGGTTCTCGTGATAAGCACATACGGAGGCTGTGTAACTGGTTGGCAGTGAAATAGAAGGTAGCTGAACTTTGTCCTCCATGCACTCTCAACTCCCAAATCGAGACTGGTGCACGCACACACACAACTGCGTACTACAGAAGCATCGAGCACAACAGTTTTTTGTCGGTAGACGTATTCGCCCCGTGTAGTGGTGGAGGATGGATAATCTTCTACATCCACTCTGTCGTTTCTTGGTCTCGGGAGGACGGCGTCAAACGGGTGGTTGCGGGAATTCCACCATGGGTGTAATGCTAACCACGAAATCCTAACGTATGTTCTAGCAGTGGGTACTGTGCTAAGCAAAGATGACCATCTCCCCCTCTCGCAGGTAACTTCTCCTCCATACATTGGCGCCTTCTGTTCCAATCAACATGAGTCCAGGCAGCAAGTGCTTATCTGTTAGATGTCAGAAGGAATTGGTGATTTTATTCACTCGTAGGCCATTTCTCCTTAAAAGTGCGAAAAGAAATGAAAAGAAAATAAATTCAATTTCTTGTCTACGGCCTTAGGACTGCGTATTACATCCCTTTCCAATGTCTCTCCGTACAGGCGAAAAGACTAGCTCTAACCACCTCGGTACTAACCTCACACTCATTCACCAATGGCCAACTCCATTTGGTAGGGGTGACTTTGTGATTGCCCAATGGTGAGAGAAGATGTTGGTGATCACCTAAAAGGAATCCGCGAGGAGGGCCTTGTTTTGACTGTCATTCCATGTGACGCTCAGTTGCTTAGCTTTCACCACTTTATGTCAAAGGTGTCATTTACTTTCCCATCAATAACAGATTTGGCTGACCGTTGCTGTCTTATTCCGAGACCCTCATTTAGCTGAAAAAGATTTATCCAGCGCTCACCTCACCTTCCTTAAAAGCTGTTCAGGCTTGAAGAAATTCTGCGTCTCTGGAAGCCAGAGAGGTAAATTTGGCTCTGATCTTTCCCTAAGACAACCCACTTACTCGCTTGGGCTAGTATTTCATCAATGTTACCTCTTAAAGATAACTTCTCAAACATGAATTTACATTGGAACACAAAACGCTGTCACTCACGGATTGAACGCTCTGGACTCGGATCTACTCATCCGAACTCTTTGAGCCTCCCTACCTTCCACACCTGGCGATGCCTATCGCTTGTAAATGGAAGTAGGTGACACTCAAAGTGGTAAAAAACCGCTGTGACACTCCACCTTTGTCAGATGGATGTCACAATGATTCTTCCGCTCATTAACACTCACCTACTCAAAGAAAATTATGTGGGTTTGAAGTTAGTGAAGAAGAAATCTCTGCTTAATACCTGGAATTCGTAAATTAAATCTGAATTAGCGGAGGCTGTTTCCTTTTCGGTGGAAAAATTTCATCAAATCGCATCACATTATGCAGGAGCGCATTCAACTGTGGAATGAAATAAGACACAAGACACAAATCTATCGGTCCTAGAGCTGTCACACGATTAGCTTAGAGTATAAAAAATTATGAAGTGACAAAGCTTGGTCTATTTTGAGTCACGGTAACTATGCTTGACGCACATCTCAAAGTCACAGATATGTGACATACGTTCCTTATGTAATTACACCCACCATTACCAACTAACTGGGTCCAGTAAAGAAACCTTTAGGTCAGTGATACCCCTTCTAGCTTGCCGATTCTACTACAACTCATTGGCACAAGAAGCATATCATTCATTTGTAGTTGCAACCATTTCTCCCCTAGGTTTTATTACCTATTCATTTACCTACTTGCCCTCCGATTATGTGCATGTATGATATTACGTAAAGGTGATAATTATTTGCCAGAGAATATCATCATAGGAACATGGCGAATGAGGCGGTATCCCCCCTCGTCCCAATTAGGCAAGTGTGGCGTCCTTCTTCCCCACCGACCGATATGTCGAGGTCTCAGACGTACTCGTCTGACCTTTGTGGCAGGCGCAAAGAAACTTTGGTGAGGAGGCGGCACGCAGCAATGCAACAAATGGTCACCACGACCCTTGAGATCGCCCTGTAGTAGTCAATTACGCTCAACCGTTGACAGGCGGTCTCAAGAGTGACATGTGAAGAGAGTTTTAAGAGGAATGTAAAACGATTTGCTCCCATCAATCTCAACTTGTCAAATAGTGGAAGCCAAGCTACTGGTTGGCACATGCGTCAGCAGATGACAAGAAGCCTCCAAGTGGGCCAATTTTCTGTACTTTTTCATGAAACCGCATCTTTTCTGTGTTATTTGACCATATCTTCAGCATTCATTTCGTTATACTTCTAAGGGATAAGCTCTCATCTGTCCTAAGGGGCAAAAATATTCCATCCTTACGCATGTCCTTGATGAGAGACAGACTTCATGGTGGAAGGGGAACCCCCCAGGATGATGAGTATCCTATTATCTTGTGAGATCGTGTAAACAATTTGGCTGCTTTGTGACCTTCGTTTTTTCACAACTTCGTTTAATCCTTAAAATCTAGAAGAAAAGGAAACAAATCCTTTACTTGTTTTCAATAATTAATGTGGAAAAATCAAAACAGGCGCTTTATTCGGAACCGAAGTGCCAACAACTCCACCAAATCCAAGGTACATCCCTGAACGATGAACTGACAGGAGAGCAAGCAAAAAATCAACCACACAATAAAAACAGTAACTTTTTTCTGCCCTATAATAATTCTCACGAGGAACGACATGAGAACCGAAACGGAAAGAGCGTCTCCTTCCCAGACCACTCTTGTGGGTGCTTTTACCTGAGATAGCTCTCCTGCACAGGATTCGGCATTGTTCAAGCTTTTACCTCAAAACTCGAAGAGTTCTAATTTAGGCCATCAGCACAACTTTTATTGCACCAATTTTCCGGCTAAATCCGATCACTATAAGTATAAAAATGCCGAATTAATTTATTGGAAGTTTTCATTGTTTGGTTTATTTAAAAGAAAAACTTCTTAAACCCAGCTATTTAGAGGTGATAATTAAAGGCAAAATTGTGTCCTTGCGATTCCAAGCGAACGCAATTAATCTTGTCCCAAAGCTCTCAGCCAATCATACACCACATTTTCGTAAGCCAATGGGCGCACAGTGACCGATTAGGCTAACCAATAAAGTGGCAGTGGGGCGACCAATAGCAGCAGCTGGTGTGTTTGCATTGATTCAGCAGACAGCGCTGGCTAAAAGCGCATTCAACTGGGACTAAACCAGTAAATGAATAAATGAATGAACAAATGAATGAATGAATGATTGAATGCAATCAGCTCAACTTTGAAAGACGGATGACTAAGTGAGGAATCAAGGGGTGAAGAACCGAGCCCACACACGGATACACACGCAAAATTGGGAAGGGGGGAGAAGAAAACACCACACAAAAGGAAGCAAAGAAGAGTAACGTCTAAATGACAGAGAGGAGAGAGGAAAAGCAGACCGAAGCAACTGGTGAGGGGCTTGAAGTCTCGCCTTCCCTCATGGGAAATGGTGGAGCAGAATTCGGGGAGGTAGACGACGTGGACGTAAGTCTTAACAATTTTTTTTTTCATTTCATTTGATGCTTTTATTTCATGTCCCTCTTATTTTAACTTGGTTATTCCCAAAACGCGTGGCCGTTAAAGGTGTGAGAGGAAAATCACACAGCAAAATGAACCTTGTATTGTATGCTTTGTGGGGAGGTAAGTGAAACAACTTTTGGGTTATTTGGACTGTGGCAAACTCCACCGTCCCTCCCGACCCACTTACCAGTATTCGGCGGCAGATAAACAATTTCTAGGCTTCAGAAGAAAGCAATATTAAAGTGTTAGTGAATCAGACCGGCCTTGTTTTTCTTTCCAAAGGTTCGAGATGTCCTATTTCAAATATTACATTTTGGAAAATTTCAAGAATATATCGGGTCCTTTTTTTCTGTCAAAGAGTGGTTGATTTGTTTCTCGTTTTTTCCATAAAGACACGTGCGATGTTAAATGAACCAAGAAGCACTTTTGAGACAAGATTTTGAAAGGGTGCCCCTATTTATTCTTTAAAAGTCCGCAGGCGGCTTTATGGGGAGGGGAAACGGCGTCGGAACAATTTATTTTCCCACCAGAAGTGATATAGTCTTGCAAAATGCAGGCAATTTTTTTAATTTTGACGGTACAGAATAAAAATGGCCAACTCTTAAACGAGATAATCTAAACTGAGAGGCCTACAATCAGTAGTGATTTTGTCCAGCTATTTGACCAGCGTCGAAACAAATCCGCTGGAAGAATGAGCCCAACGTCAGATAAACGGTCAAGCCTTCAGTTTTATTCTCCAGAAAAGGCTTCGAAATGCCTTATTTTAAAGGAAAGTGGTTATAATGGGAGAGTGGAGCTTTGACCGACTTGGTGGAAGAGCAGCCCGTGCCCAAGGAAGTGGTGAAATTAACTCGAATGAGTTAAAACTCCTCTTCACCTCTGGTATTAAATCACGAGGTCCTGTGGCTTTGGATCCCTTTGCCGGCTGAGCCGTGATAGACCACCGGTTCGGTAGAGAAGAGCCCATGTAAGCACAAAGAGGTCGAAGGAGAAGAACCTACTTTAAATATCCAATTTTGAGGCCTTTTTTTTAGCCGCCTTTGGTGGGGAGAAAAAAGCCTAAAGGTGAAAAAAGTAGCTGCATATCAAGAATTTAGCGACATTGCATACGCGAGTCCTCACCAACGCCTGAAAGTTGCTCCTTGATGTGAATGTTTTACTGGTCTTAACGGAAAGGGAGCTGACTGAAGAAACAGAGGGATAAAAATTGCACTTTCCTAAGGCCCAAGTGATGGCCTTGAAGTCCTTTCTGGTGTTATGAGCTGGCATTCACTATGCCTCCCGATTCACAAGTCCTTGAAATGCACTTTTTTGGCACGTTTTTCTTTATTTTAAGAAATTGTAAGGCCTTGGGAAGAGAAAAAACATACCATATAAATAGGTTTATCAGTGGTGGAGTTTTTTGCCTACGCAGAACCGCTCAAGATGCAGAATGGAAAGAGGCCGCGGAGTCCCCACCACAACTGTCAGAAGGTAGACACGATCTGACTTAAGGGTTTGTTGCCTAAAATATTCTAAAATTATCGCAAAATGGGATGTTAGTAGCCGTTAGTGTATGAATAGTGGGACAGTCACAGGCACTTCAGCTGTCACGTTAGGTATGGTATGAGAACCCGCTCGTCACACACATGTGACGCAAATACAGTGAATTTTCTACCCGGTTTTGCTGCACGCTTCAATGGAATGATTATTATGCAATCAATTAGGTCTTATTAGAAAAAAATATTTGAGCATTTTTCTGAAAACTGTTTTTTTTGGGTTCGTTTTCTTCTTCAAAAAGCTTTTCTTTTTTGCTTCAGAGAGCTAGGCGGTACCTCGGTGATATCGGCATAAATAAAATTGAGTAAAAATAACAAGGACGTATATGATTTCCTCCTTAATTAATATTTGAGAGGATTAGGTGTCTGTCAAAAAAGACGTTAAAGATTTTCCCATGTGTAACATCATCAAAATGCAACGCACTATGGGGCAAGGTATGTCTCGGCCATGGTGACATGCCCCTCAGCTCGGAAAAGTACACATTGTGCGCAGGAAAACTGGTGGACTGGCCAAAAAGCGTTGCTCCGTGACCCGAAAATCTGTCCACCAGTTTGAAACCGTTTGACAGCCATGGACACTGAAAGGTTATGCACGTGTCTTTAGCCAGCGAAAAGTTGGTCCCGCGGACTGGGTGGCGGTAAAAAAATTTCTAATTTTTTCACTGGTTATGTAGTTTCTTAGAAAATTTCCTGGAAAGCTTGCAAAACCTCTCGCCACTTTCAAGAGGCTTTAATTCGCATTATTTTTGGCTGAAATGAGAGGTTTTCTCAAAGCTGTGGAGGAGTGCTTGGCGGCCAAATACTCCCACCATCTTTAAAGCACGGCCAAAATTACCTAAAATTAAAAAATTGTTCCAAAGCTACAAAGCACCTTTTTACTTTTGGGTAAAAAATGAGTAGAAATGAGTAGTTTTAAGTGTGAATGGGCGGGAACCGGCTTTAGTTTCGACGGTATTCTACCAAAGCCCTATAAACTCACAACTTGTCAAAATAGTAACTTCTTCAAATTCCGACATTCAAAATCAGGAAAATTGTACAACTCTGTTTCCGAATTAGGCAATTTCTTGTTCGCGGCATTCTTCTTTGTTTTTTTTATTATAATTTTATTAATTTTATATAGTCGGGAATATCACCACAAGACGCACAAAATTTCGTGATATTTAAGAGTAAATGCAAAGAATCTTTCTGCCGTAACTTTTTCTTTTGAATGTATCTAAAAGTTATTGACTAAATTTTTTAATTTGATCTTCCAATAGAAAAATTTTTATGTCCAAACCATTTGTTTTATTGCACGGGCAAAAACCCGCCATTTATTGGATCTTTGAATTGGTTGAGGGAAAATTAATATACTCTAAATATTTTGGAGATTTGCACGCCTTACTACAATTTTAGAGAAGAATCGGCCACAGTTTTTCCTTTTACGAAAACTATAGAACACCCGCAGATAAAAAGGAGACACACGGAAGGCGCATTTCCTTTTCTCTTTTAGTTTTCCTTGTTTTCCATCCCTTCTTAAGGGAGGGAAATATCTTTTTTCATTTTAAGTGGTCGTTTTAAAGAGGTGTGTGGGAGGAGGAGTAAGCAAAATGCCCTGCGTCCCTAGGACGGGAGGGCAATTTTGCCGAGGGGTCTAGGCAGACTTGGGGTAGAGAGAGGTCTTTGAAAAAAAAGAGAGGTTACCTGCATCATTTAAATGGTAATATCTTGTCATTAACTTCTATTACAACAGGGAAAAAGAAATGGAATTAGAATACCTATGCCGCATCAAAACGGGTTTACCTTAGGACCCGTGACCTTGGGACCATTATTTCTTGTTTCCTCTAGAGCGTCTTTAAAGGGAAAATTTATTCTCATTTTGTTAAAATTGAGCCGCATTCTGAGGAAGACGTAAATAAATTTTTTAACATGTTTATTTACAATCGCAGGAGCTTCTATGTGCACAAATGAGGTTCAAATTGAATGCTGCTTTTTACTTCGAGGTATCAATTATGAAGGCTTTTACCCCTCCCTCTCTTTTCGTTAATCTTTCTCTATCCCTTGGTTTAATTCACTCTCACTTCCAAATTTTGATGATTCCACCTCAAGAGGGTCACATGCATCCAGACGTAACACAAGCCAGAAGAAGTGAGTAGGCTGTTAGACAAACGCGATCAACCTGCTTGCTACCATGTTTGACTTTTCTCGAGGGAAATGGAAAGGCATTCATTGCGGTGTGTGCATTCCTAGTCGATCAGCCAGTGGGCATTCATACAGGCTTGAGGCAATATTCAGGCACCGCCAGTTAAGTAATTGACAATGTTGGAATTCAAAACTTAGTAAATTAATTGGTAAGGCACATCAAGAAAAAAGGGTTTACCGCGCATCCGCCCGTACATACCCATCCATAGATCCCGTAGCCATTCATCCTGTATCCAACCATCTATCCATCCTGTATGCATCCATCCATCCCGGATCCATCCATTCTATATCCACCCATCCTGTATCCATCCATCCATCCCTCCATCCATCCATTTATTCATACAGTTTTCCATCCTCTATCTGTTTATCCATCCATCTCGTAGCCGTATCGTATCTCCCCCTCCATCCATACCTTCGTCCTCAATCCATCCATTTATCTATCCACTCATCCATTTTTTCTCATCCGAGCATCTATCCCATACAAATCGAAGCAATTATTTTCGTTTTGTTTTTCTAGATTTGTTTCGTTTGCCTCTCCGTGCATGTGTGCAATTGGAGAATAATATTTAAGTCTCTCAACAAGCATACCTCACCTAAACAACTTAAGTAAAAATAATTCTTTAAGCTGGTGTCTTATTTTTTTTCATGCTCTGTTCCTTATCATACATCCTTCATTTCAACTCCTTTTAAATCACCTATTTACACTTTTAAGTGATTTACACGATGTACGTGGATACATCGGTCATGGTACTCGTCAGTTTTTGCATTACTGCCATCCATTAACTGTTGCTGTTTTGTGCTGGCACAGTGCGAAAACGAACCAGCAGAAATGGCCACTTATGTAGCACAAGCGATTTAAAATATTAGAAACTTTTACTCAAATACCCCAAAGCGTTACAAAAAAAAAGGAAAGAAAAATGAAAGCGCATCAACCCTTCTTTTTATCCTCTTTGATCCATGCATGGCAAAATATCATTTGTCAAGGGGTGGCAGCATAAAAGACCAAAGTATTAGACTATTTTGAATGTACAGGAGCGGTATTTACTGCAAGCTTTGCCTGCGCCCAAGAAAGCTGCAGCTCCTTCTGTTTATTTTCCCTGTCTGATCTTCTCCTGTAACCCGAAAATACGCGCAAAAATTTTAATCAAATGGCTAAAACTATACTACAGGCTTGAACATTCCTCTCCTGTCTGACGGTTTGTTTAGCTTATCGCGGAGTGTCAACGTCTACTAATTTATGTAGTTGCATAAAATTTGCTAATGTGTACTTTGGTCTCTCTACCTGACAACGAGAGTGAACTTTGATATATCTGCAGTTCCCTGCAAAAGTGCTTGGCATTTTGCAAGCTGATTTACCATAAAATTGGATTTTCCTATTTGCAGGAAGGCAATCTGCATATTTTGTCCTCTATGAGTATAAAACATCATTTGCCTTATAAACAAATATAGCTTGGTTTCATTGTCACCGGCAAAATCATTTAAACATCTCTTAATGGACTGAATGCGTTTGGGAGTACTTTAGCTGCTTAGCTGCAGTTGCTAGCCCTTCGAGTGTTTTGTGAATGAGTTATACTTATCTGGCAGATATTAGAAAAACATGCCTCCAAACGTCAGACTCTCTTTTGCGTGCGAATGAGCTCTTACTTGGGGCAGTTCTAAGCATACTTTGCAATGAACGTTGGTCCCAATTTCCGATGAAAGCACATTAAGGCCCGTCAGGGGTGAGGAAAATTCCACTTTTCAAAACTTGCAAAAAAAGAAGGATACAGCTCAGGTATATTAAAACTTTTTACAAAGTTTTTAAATTTGCCATTTAGAGTATCCATGATTTAACGGAATTGGGGGTTGCGCAAGTTTTTTAAACAACATTCTGCTAAAATTAATGAAGAAAAACTATAATTGGAATGTAAATGCCTGTAAGAATTAAATAAATGGAACAATATACTTTAAGAATTAAATCCTTTTATGGCAATGCTTCAATGAAAATAAAACTCTAGCTTGTTTAAATTGGTCAGCAAAGATTTATACGCAACCTGTTCTCATTTTGCTTTGCTTTAAGCGCTAAGTCTCAGGATCCTCAAGTTTTATCGCAAAAGTTCGATGATTACCTAATTTTTGAGCTTTTCTCACACACTCACTTAGAAATTGTAGCTAAGGGTTATCACATTTGTTCGCCATGACCCTAAAAATATTTGACCTATTATTGTTTTTCATTTGCCTATGTGAGTCATTTAGAGCGCTCCCTTCCATTACTGCTGCCTAACGGCAAAGGCCTGAATCTGAAAATTATTATATTGGCTGGCTTTCACTACCGCAGTTGTTGATGTAATGCATTCGCTCTTGTTTTGCATCCGAAAAAATGTAATCTCCTCTCTCTGAATGAGACTTGCATGATTGCTTCATTAGTCGAGTCCCAAACTATTTGCATCGGTAATCTTTCACGGTATGGGGTTTCACGTACGGGTTTTTATTTATGCACTATACTGCCAAGGCATTTGGCTCCTCGTGTGTGGTCGTGGAGGGAACCAAGCTTCCTTAAGTACCCGTCAAATTGATACATGCATTGTAGCATTCGCCCACAAAATTTGCTCCTAATGGTTTTATAGGTATATTTCTAAATCGAAGTGCGTAAATGTTTAACGTATAATTGAATACCTGTGACTAGAACAATACAACAAGTTTGTAGTGCTTTCCTCAAGAGTACGTCACCAATTCTCAATCTTTTAAATGCGGTAGCCTAAGTAGATACCATAATTTCATGCAAAGAATTTGCGTGCGTTGGATATGGGCAAAGCCTAATTACTGAGATTCCCCGCGGCATTAAACTAGCAATATTAGTAGCCTCTGTTTCTTATTTCATGTCCCATGTACGTAAATTCGCAATTTTGAAAAGAATAATTGTAGACAAATAACAGATATGCATACCTCAAGTACTACAATAAAAGCAATTGTGTAGCACTACTACTAACTAAGTATCAGTAGCAGCAATATTTTGACCGTTTCTAGAATTCAAGAAATTGCTCATAACCAGAACAAGCCCTACTAATGGGTATTTCTTGTATTTCCCGGGTCAGCTATTACTTATTATAGTTCAGTAAGGTCCCGCTAAATAAAAAATGAGTTTTTCTTATTATTTATAGGGATATACTTATTGGGAATCTAAGTATACCACTTTAAATGAAACCAACCCAGTCATATCAGCAAAGGTAATGCCTAGTTTAGAACGAAAGGCTCATTTATTGTGGAACTCATGAAAAATTTGGCGATGCGCAATAATTGCTCTGTTTAGGCTGCAGGTGGATCAACTTACTCCACTCGCTAGCTATAGGTGCTCAAATATATGCGGCTTTGCTAGGTATGCACCAGTCAACCGCACTGGCAATTTTAGATCATTTTATTAGCAAGTGTTAGTTGAACCTGAGGGATGAGACTGAGTTTCCTCTGATTTTGAAGAGACCTTAACTAATTTTTGATATAATGCAAAAAAACATATTAGCGACCCTGCTTTCTCACCTTTTGAATAGACGAGGCAGCGAAAAAAACACCCCAAGAGAATGTTTTTTACCTATTGTTTGTCGCCTATCTCAAATATTTACACTTCATTATATTAAGAGTCGTTTTTTCCTCCATCGTCGATTTACCCTTAGCGCACTAGGGCTAATGTGTCTGGCATGATCGGAGAAGTTGCGGATATTTACCACGTATTTCTTACTAAAACCATGCGGATGCAGCAGAAATAAGCTGAGACTCTACAAGGAAATCTAAATCGAGAGAATGCTCACACTCAGAAATCGCAAGGGAAAAAGAAGGACAAATAAGGGGAAGGTGATTTCCTTCTCATTGACAGACACATTTCCCACAGAGATTGTCTATTTGTCACCATGTAATCTCCTGCAAATCACAATGCTGAGGAAAAGTAGAGGGGAAAAAGGAGAAGAGTGAGGCTGGATAGTCGGTTTCCGGCTTCAAAATATTGCAAAAAGGAGGAAAAAGCAGCCAGCTAATGTTTTGATGGGATGAAGATGAGGATTTATCACAAAAACTAGTCTGCCGAATGACTTTTGTATTTTAGAAAGCTTTTCTGGTATTTGTTTGGAGCTCGTCATCAGGAAGCATGCTAATTTATTTCATGGTTCTGTAATTCAAAGAAAATATTTTCCTCACAAAACACCACAACTTCACCGTTATTTCCAAAGCAACAAGTATCTACTAATTTACTTTCAGTAGAAACTTCCATCGCGCTTTATTGATGTGTTCTTAACTGCAATCAGATTATTCCTTTAGATTTCAACCTGTAAAATTTTCCTCCAAGAAAACGATTTAAAACTATTAATTGGGAAAAAATCCGCTTTTCAGAATTTTCTATACCATATCCTCACAGGCGAACTGACCATCACAGCCTTTAAATTCCAATTATTTTAAAGTGTTCCGGTCACAAAACAACAAGAAGCGTAACTTTTCGCAAGTCCAGATAATATCAAACTGTCACACATGCTTGACGCTGGAAGAAGGCGAAAGTAATAACTCCAAACTGAAAAAACCGTCGATATGAGTTTGTACTCCAGCACTTCGCCATAAGGATCCGAGAGGATAATTAGCACCCCTTAGCCGTACGCAATGTGACTTTGTGCAGTCACAGCTATCCATAAAGTAGAGAAGTGCCCATGTCACCTTTTTTGACAAGATAAGCAAATATTCAGGCGGAAGGTTCAAAATTTATCCTTCTTTATAGCCTCCCAAATAAAGTAAACATTCCATTTTTCTTATTACAGTGGGGCTTTTCTTCACAAAATGCATAAGTTGCACGATTTTCGAGGAAATAATTGCTTATTCCGTTAGTAAACGCTGCATTGTTTAACAAATGAACGCCTGGCATAGTCCACCAATGAAAATACCAGAACCGTGACCTTGACAAATTTAAACCTGGGCGGCGATTCAAATTCGCATGCGACAGCTGATTTCTAGGGGATGTACGGTGTGAGAGGCGTAGACTTACGAACACCATTGTCTTTAGCATCAAAATCCGTTACTAAGCCTGGAGATGAGTTGGAGGGCTTTCCGGTGGAAGAGGAAAGTTCAGATGACGAGGAGTCGTGTTTCATGCGTCTGTTTAACACGACCTTTAAGTGCTACGAAGCTGATGTAGGTCTTTCATCAGAATGCGCGGAAGTTGGCCTGCTTCCAAGGTTTTATTCACGTATTTGTTTATTTGGGTGGAACCCTGTTTTATGGTAGTTTTGAAAGATGGCACAACTTTGAGGCTTTGATCTGTTGATCAGCAAATTTTCTTTCCCAGGTAAAGCCGTCCTCTCAAGTGGCCAAACGCAACTGGAAGGGTCTACTGTTGGCTCTGCTTGTGATCACCGTCATATCAGCCCTCATCGTGCTGGCCTGCTTCCTCACCTACGACTGTAAGTTGGCCTTTACCTTTTTTTCTACTAATTAAATCCACTGATAAGGACGATTTGAAAGCACCTTTTATCATAAAATAGACAAAATTGAACCGAACTATGGACTTCCCTTGACACTAAATGACATTGTAATGCTCAACGGTCTAATTAACCGCCCCAATGCTCAATTCACAAACGGTAAGTCACTTTCTAACCAACAACCAACTCAATTTCCAAACTTTTCTTCTTTAAAAAGTTTGTTTTTCTCAATTTTTTTACAGATAACTTAGTTTACTTGTCCTCAAACGGATCCCTGTTAGCGATTGACCTCAAAACCTACAAACACAGGCTATTAATGACCAGCGCACAACTACGTGAGGTAAATTTAGAGGAAAGCACACTCCCAGTATAAATGAGTCCATATTTCCTTTTTTATTGCCCTCCTTGCCTGTAATTCTAGAAGCAGAATTTTACCGGAATTCTGAGTGTCTCCGAGAATATGGCAACCCTACTGCTCCGCTATCTATTTATCCCAGTAAGTTGGTCCATAAGAAGGCATCAATTATTTGTAACCTCTTACTCTCTGACCTACATTTCATAACCGACTTTTGTGCTGCGCTTAGATTTACCGAAGAAGCTACTTCTCGCAGTACCAAGCCGTTCTACTATCGCCGTGAGTTATTTTTCCCTACTACCCATAAATCATTAATGCTGACTTTTAAAGGAGCGTAATGGTGAGGATGTGGCACTCAACAACTCTCTACTACCCCATTTTTTCCTCCAGTTTACACATCACTTAAACAGCGTAGGCTTTTAAGGGGGATTCTAAAGAGGCGAGAATACCAAAAATCTTAGCACAGAAACAAGATAGTGGGACTTAGCGTCGTTGTTTGATTTGATCCTGACAAGAATATGCCGTTAAAACCTTTAATTAATTATTTTTAACTGGAGAAGATAAACTAAACTGGCTATTTTGGAGGTGGACCCTAATTTATTGCGATGTGTGATGTCTGCATGTTAGCGATGCAAAATACTTAATTTGTTGTTATTCTTAATGTCAGAAAGTAATCATACATTTAACAGCAAAGTAGAACCTTGTAAGTATCAGCAAAAATTGTGACTCTTGTTTATTTATTTGATTACAAGTACATAAATTTAACGTGATTGTACGAAAAGTTTTCCAGTCATTTATTTAAAAGAAAAATTAGAAAAAATAACTAAAGTTAAACCAGCACCTTTTCGTGCAAGCAATCCAGTTTTTTAGATAACCCTTTTTTGTTTAAATCGCCCAAAAGCTCATTTACTCAATAATTTTCACACTCAAAATTTTTTATTTAACTCAGGAATCCAAACGGATGTAAAATTTGTTCCTAAAGCATTAAAAAAGATGTAAATGTTGGGGTTTTAGTTAAGCTCAAGGCCTAGTTAAAGTCAACTTCGAAATGTTCGCTATTTTACGAGTTCATAAAAGATTTGAACCAGAAGAAGCACAAACGACTGCCACAATTTTTAATTAAAAAAAATTCTTTTATTTAAGTAAATAAGATTTTAGGGGGCGGGAATGTCTTAAGGAGGCTGCTTTCATGCTAAGTTTCAAACCGGAGTTAACTCTATCTTTTTATATGCATTTTTATTAACTTTGAGAAGATACGAAACAAAAGCGTTACAAATACCTGTTGCTTTTTGCCTAAAGCGGTTTAAAACAGGAAACTGAATTCCTTTACGTATAATAGCAACTTTAGTTTAGGGAAAGAAAATTTCATCACCTCACTGATCACCTACTAGGTAACCATTTTGTCTCCCCAATTGTTTAAAGGATTAACTCAGCTTGGTTTACTCTGCTCCAGTTCTTGACTCTTCCAACACCTACACTGTAGGCGAAGCCGCACAAATTATCATCTCCCACTTTAAAAAGAACATTGTTTTTCCTGTAGTCAACGTCTGCCAAATTTTGTCTTAGATTAAAAAATAGGCGATGTATCCTTTCCTTTCCTAAAATTATGCCTCCATTTTACTGACAGAGGCTGAGTAAATTGTGCTGCCTTCTCTTTGCCCACTTCAACTGTTCATATGCACAAAAATTGCCATCGCTCTAAGCCTTTCCCATAACATTGCCTCTTTCCTTTCGTCAAAAAATGCACTGGACATTTGTCCTGATCCGCGTGATAAATGAATTGGTTACAATTGCACCAACATGATGGTGTAAAAATTTGGCAACTTTGTGCTAACATCCTCCTTTAATTAAAAAATTCGATATTTCCAAGCGTTGTAAATGCCTTCCTTAAAGACGGATTCGGAGGTGGGTTGCAGTTGGACCTAGACAGGTACCTCACCAAAGTACACCGCCTCTTCTGGAGGCATCCATTATGCATTCTCGACCGACGAAAAAAAAAACATGTAGCCTGTGCGTAGGGAAAATGGGATGCGTTATTTCTTTCCAGGGAATAAAAATGCGCATGTCGCATTAATTGGTGGAGAGAGATTAAGTGCTCCTCGGAGGCCAAAAAAGTGGCCAAAACATATTGGATGAATGTTTGAGTTTGTAGGGGCAAAATGCTGGCATCGGGCCGTCAGACTTCCCTGGAGGGCAAATAAAGTATAATTCCAATGTTTTCTCTTCCTCACACAATACTTTCCTATTAACGAAAAATAAAGAAAGGGAGTAATTTTCCTTCTTCCAGTTGATGTTGTAAGAAAGAGGACATTTAGGGTTCTCCATAGCCCCTTCTTTCCTTGTTTTGAATAACTGATTTGACTTTTTTAAGTCCCTTTAATAAAAGCGAGAATTTGGAAGTTTCTGGTTAAAAAGTTTTTACTAAAATATAATTTTATTCTGTTTGTGCCAACTAAAACCTTCCTTTTATTCTCAGAGGTAACAATCCCCAAATCAAGGCACGAGTGGATATTGGACCTTTTGAGGAGGGATTTGAACAGCCCCTGCTCAATCACGCTCAATTTTCGCCCAACTCGGAGGCACTGGTAGGTCCTCCTCCTGCAATGCGGTCCCCACCCTCCAATGCCTCGAAAGCTTATTGCAAGACTTGCGTCTTGACTTTTTACAAATGTCAACCAAAATGACCAGACGCACTGGTAGGCCTGAGGGGTAGTGAAAAGGAAAGTGAGAGGAGACAATTAAGTTGGTTCTGTCAGATATGAATTGCCGCAGTGAGGATAATGGTGGAATTTAGAAATTGCTTTATCAGACATCAACAAAATTGAGGACTCGTATTGCAGTGCTGACAGGTTAAAAATGCCTGCGACATGTCCCACACCATCCTCCTCGCGCCATCAGACACTCCTGGTCGTAGTCTTCATCGTTTTGTTTTGCATCTCGTCGCCGACGTGCATTGGGAAGATTCTGTTAATCACAGGCCTAATTGTTTTTTTTTTTCAGTTTGACAATTGCAGAATCCTATAGATATTGAGAAGGCGAAACTCTTCTCCTATAGTCTTTTAAAAAAAAATAAAAGGCTTCGAAATGCTCTATGAAAGAAGAGCGGTGCGATCGCACACCAAGCAGCAGCCTTAACTGGAAGGAGCAAAGATAAGAACTCCGAGATCTTTTCCACCGTAGACTGATGCAAATTGAGGAGCGTGGAAACAATATTTAACAGGATAACTGATATAAATAATGATCAATTACATTCATCTCATTTTTATCTATCCTACGTTCATCCCGTTACCATCCATCCTTCCATCCACCCACCCCGGATCCATCCATCTATCCGTCCTGTATCCATCCATCCATTCATCCCATATCCATTCATCCATACATTCATCCCGTATCCGTCCATCCATCCGTCCTGTGTCCATTCATCCATCCATCCTGTATCCATCTATCCATCCATGCCGTATCCATCCATCTATCCACTTTTTTCTTTCTCGAAGCATCCAGTAGATGCATTTATGTCACGCCCCTATTTTTAACTCTACCTTGCTTGCTCATTTTTTAGTACTGTACGGTAAAATGCGATTCGTAGGTAAGATAAGATGTTGCTCCAAGTTTATAAGAAACTACTATTAAAAAATCTTCTAAAAATTATTATACCAAACAATTATCTCATTTAAAAAGCATAACTTAATATAATAGAATTTTTACATTTCTGATTGGTCGAAGCAGTTTTAATAAGGAGAACGCATAAAATGAACTGAAACACTCAAATATTATTTAAATTTACAACGATAAATGAAGAAAATGTAAATGAAATAACCAAATAGGGTGTTCTGGATGGTTGTAAAAAGAACAAGACACTTTCTGTTGTCTTTGGACCCTATATGCCTACCTCCAGTGTGACACGAACTCATTAATCATTCATCCCTTTGTCGACGTGTCACCATGCCCGAACAACTTGACTTCCTCCCTTTTTACCGCTCTTTTTCGCTCCAAATCTGGACTGACAACTTCTGCAATTTTAAAATGCGAAGAATATGTGGTAGCCTTGTAAAAGGAGGAGATTGGGGGCTTGTTTTGCTTGTTATTACTAAAGTACACTTCTTTCCTAGGGGACAAATTTGCGTCTTGCTGCCTGATGTTGCCTCTTTAAGAATAGAACTATTCTCCTCCTCCTTCCTGATTTGTTTTGTCCCCTCCCCTCCTCCCACCCCCTCCCAACTGTGGGTTGATGGACCTCAGCCGTGACCTTCAGTGGTAGGAGAGTCGCATCCACCGCACAGGCACACACACGCCCAAATTAAGCATTACAACTCGGGGGATGTGGAAGTGCTTGCCTTGAAAGTACACAGGATAGGTAGGACCAGTTGGAGATTACTAATGGTAGGTTGGTGAGACAAATGTTGGGGAGAGAAGAAAAAATACCATTTTCCATCAAAAGGCAATTAGTGGAGAGTCTGAGAGGAGATTGAGGGACTTTGAAGCCCACTGCCATCTACTACTACATGGGACATTAATTTTCTCAGAGCAAACGTCTTTCCCAGTTGATGCAGATGGGGCAGAATAAACACAAGGGAAGAATTTCACAAGCGTATAGCCTCCTCCTTTGCCTGCCTCTTTTATAACTAATCGCCGAATGTTCTGTAAGGTCACTTGAAGAACTGCGTGAGAATGGAATCACCTCGAAGCTCTTCTGCTGCACCAGCATTCAAGCGCCTACGCTACGCATGTCCAGCTTATCTACCTTAGTTGATAATGACATCCACCGCCCACTCACTCTCCTTATCTGAGCTGTTTACTACTCTAAGAGATCGACAACCGCGGGTGATTGCGGAGAGCCAAAATACAAATTCCACAGAAGGAGACGCAAACAAGACATTTTTACATTTTTGAATGCCTTGTGGTTTGTTATGCCATGTATTTGTGGAGAAGGTGAAAATGGGGGAGCGACTAAATGAAAAAAACTTGTGCAAGTTTCCAACGTTCTTTCATCCAACATTGATTGTGTCCCTACTGGTGAGGCAAGGGTATACGATAACCATCTAATCCGCTGAAGTGGCTCTCGAACAACCTATTTGGCGCATCTTCCTATCGCTAGACCAACTTACCTTCAATGAGGAAAAAATCTGGCACTTCTAGGCAGGGAAAACTGAGCATATATGTGGTGGAGGAAAAAAATGAGACCAGTGGGGTGGAAGGGGAAGAGGGTTGACCAAGTGTCCTTAAGAGTGTCAAATCTGATGCCACTAAGGCAATATTTATTACCTTCTCGACTGTAAGCATACTTTTTTTGCGGAAAATGTCAAAAAAAATTTGGGTACCACTTTTGAAGCAGATTTTTATTAAATTGCATTCCTTTTCCTCCATCTCCCCCTCCTCAAGAAAAGGTAAAGGGAGGTCCGGGGCGGAAGCGGAAAGGAGCAAGCAGAGGGGGGGTTTATCCGCCTCGGTAGTTGTTCACAACATTCCTTCCTGAAACATTGATGACTTTAAAATTTGCGTACATTTTTTCCTTTTTTTCTTTCATTTCGTATTCTCCTTTTTTAGGCATTTGTCTACAAAAATCACATCTACTGTCAAAGAAATCCCTTCAATAAGTCGGTGGACAATATGCCTGTACCAATAACGGCTGAAATTTATCGAGAAGGCGTTCTTTACGGAGTTGCTGGATTCGTCTACGAAGGTAGACTCTGCATTTTATACACCTTGAGGAAGAATTTATGGGAGGTGGTAAAAAAATTTGTTTGCGCCCTCCAAGGGGATATCTAGCTTTTGCATTTTAGGCCTCTTGTAGCCTCTTCAATTGTCTTAACTTGTCTGCCACGCCTCGGTGCCCGTGCCACCTTGGTCGTGGTCGTTGAAGGGGAAACTCTCGAAGAGTTCTTAATACTTTGTAGCTGCACGATTATTTTTATTGAGGGGGAGGAGAAGAGGGGGAAGAAGTGTGTCCCCCTCAAGATCTGGTGCAGGCATGCCAAGAGAGCTTCCACCCCCAGTTTCCAATATCCACCTTGCATCACGAAGGGCTCTGGCCGTGGTACAGTGAAATGTCTACAAGTGTCTCTCAGCCTGAATAGAGTCCCCCTGAAGTTTGAACTTCTTAATAGCTCTGACAGGGTGAGGTAGCAATAGCACATCCTGCCCGCCATCGGTGACAGTAAAATCCTATTGGAAAACGGTCCTGTCCTCCATTTGACTAGATAACAGTGACAAGAGAATTGCCTGAGTGACACTTTTAATCCTCCGGTGGCGTGGGGAGGCCACTGCGGTCAGGGTTGTCAGAAATTTGCCTCAAATTCGCCGACGTGTGGCAAGGCTTGCAGCGAAACGTTGAAACAGTCGGGTTGTCTGGCGATAAGGGGCTCCGCAAATATCTTACCTTAGAATAGATTGCACTATTTAAATTGGTTGTGCTTAAATATTTTTTATACTAATTTGCCTTTTTGGCGACGAGGCAGCTATGAAAAGCGCGTAAATGGCTGAGACTTCACGCCTTGACAACCCCGAATGCATTCTGTCAAAATAAGGCAATAAATCAAAAGTATTTATTTTTCTTTCTTTGGCCCACAAAAGGCACAAAAGCGCTTTAAAAAGGTCGACTTGTGTACATAGTGTTGTGTCAGTGCGGACGAGTCGAGGCCGAGCTAACACCAGTGATCCCGAAGAAAACATAACCATTCTTGCCCAAAGGAGTCTTGAACCGAACGTAAAAAAATTTCCCACTTTAGTGAAATTGTTTTAGCTACCACTGGTTTGTACAAATTGCGACTTCACGCAACAACAGGTATCGACAAATTGTGTCACATATATGTGACGCAAGCAGTAGGCGTAAAATTCTGGGCCATCGAAGCGAAAAGTAATAAGTTGGCTTTTTAATTTAACCGTTCTTAGTAGTTCATGAAACGATGGTAGATTACACCGCTTTACCAAGAGACAAATGCCTTCAATGTAGGATTTCATTTTATCGCTCTGTGCAATAGTCCAGGAATAACTATTTTTCATCAAGATAAAATGCAGCATTTAAAATGATTCCATTACCTTTTTTCTTGCTCAGGCCACACAAGATGACTGTTTAACCATATGGCAAATGAAACAAGACATAATGTCCTAAATAACTGCCTCATTGTTGGGAATATGACCTCCCTCCGGGTGATATTGCTTCTTGTTGGAATAACTATAATTTCTGCTTGATAGAAAAATTTAAACAAAACTGGGATTTTCCTCCCCCTTTTTATTTCTTTATTTGTTATCTTAAACAACTTTGTCGGTGTCTAAAGGCAAGTTGTCAAGTTGTGAGTCGGTCAGAGTGTCGATGGATTGGACCTGTCACTCGGTGAAACGCCCCAGGGCAACTCTTCAGATTGGATAACATACGGCACCACTACGTCGATGGTCTACCACTGTAGAGTAAAAAGGCCTTGGCTTCCAGCCATGATGGCTGAAGTCCATCTTTGCATTCTGCTGGGCTTAAAAGCTTTCGTGAACGGGAGGAGTGTCGCTTTTCTATGCCTGTATAACGCATATGGCATTTCAGTGATGCTCCCTTCCCATTCCAGAATAGATGTTTCCACTTCCTTCCTTTCCGTTTTCTCGCAGAGGAGATACTAGGTGTTTCTCAGACCTTTTGGTGGAGTCCACAAGGCACCAAATTAGCCTTCACCGCAATCGACGAGACCAATGTCACCAAGACAAAGTTGCTCTTCTTTGAGACTCCGGGCACCTTTGGACCTTATGTGAACGATCACAGCTATCCGATGGTAGGTTATTATGTAGTTAAATTGACTGCACAATTTAAGTGTGCTTGAGAGGCGTCACAGGACATGGAGGACCCCAGGTAGCCTCAAGAGCACCCCCTCTTGAGAACAATTGAGGAGGGTGGTGTGACAACTGCATGTGCGTGTTAAATCTGTCTATGCTTCAATAGGGAACAACGGTGAACGTTCTGACTGGATCAGCAAATGTGGAAGGAGGAGGAGGAGGAGGAGAAAGAGGAATGACTTGTCCTAATTTAACCTGTCGTGTAATAGGCTTGACAGCCAATCCAACAGCGCTTACAATTTTATTAAACTGAAATGAAGTGACAACCAAACCTACAGACGTGACTGAATGAGCGATCAGTCTAAGGGTAGGTGTGACATGGGTGCCACTGCATCTCTATCACTGAAAGTGGGAATAAGGTTCTCCTCACTATGAATTAGACGAGACCTCCGACTGACATTCACTGGGTTGAAATTGAGTTGGATAGAAATTAGAAGAGAAAAGGGCGAACCAACGACTTTTGATTAGCTTTCATTGAGTGATGATGGTCAGAAAATGCTTAAGTGTAAGTAGAAAGCGAATCGCCTTCGAAGCTTAGCAACTTCTCACACCATACAGAGAGGTGTCAAAGGGCTCCGTTCCCCCAGTAGTAAAGGAGGGGAGCGCCTTGTACAAACGGACACGCTGTTACCATAAATTGGACAATAGGCGAATTCCCCACATACGTATTTATCTTTTCTGTAACCCTGTCATCCAAATTCATTGGTAGGACAAATAGGACGCTCGACTTCCGTCTTATTCACCGAGATGTATCCATTTTTAAAGGCACCCCGGCCAATCATGTGCTAGAGCTAAATTTATCCTGAAGGCAGGCATGCCGATGAAGCGAAATTTGGACTGTCACACACCTCGACAATGACGGCCTTCTATTTTTTCCCCTTTGGCGCTATTTACCTCTCAGCTTTACAGCCCTCTCTACCGTGTAATGATACACCTCTCTCTATTCGTATATGGAAAGAGTTTTTGAACCTGGATAATGATTGACCGGTCCCTTGTAATCCCGATTTACCTGACAACTGGCGTTAGAACACACATGTGCCTAATGCCACCGTTGTAGGAGATGACAGCAAGTGAGTATTCCACAATATCGCAAAAGAGAGGGGCGGAAACAATCTGGATGGCATCGGTGGCTTGTATAACTCAACATTCTCATACCTTGTAATATGTCATTAGATCGCTCATTCCTCCTCTACTTTTTTTTTGGTCGAATAAGGGTATATCATTGATACTGCCCATAGAGAGAGGGAAGCAAAGTGGAAAAGGCTGAAATGGTGGCAACACTTCCGGTCAAAATAAACAACTGATTGGCAGGAAACAATGTTTTCTTCATGGCCACCCAAACTCACTTATGGCTAGAATACGTAGCGGTCAAAATAACACCGCCAGACGCCTTCATTAGCGTCCACCTATTGGTCAATCAACCTGGAGGCAAGAGGTGTTCGCTTGCTGCCTCTTCGAGGAAGGGACAAATCCTGAGGAATCAAAATAAAGCGTTTACTTTTGGTAGCTGTCTGGTACACGTCGGAGGATGCTTTTACCCTGCCAGGATCTACCAGTACGGCTAAATTACTACAGGACATTTGTGGCGATGATGGCGAATCCACATGCCTTCCCTGGTTCCATGTAATACCGCGTACACCTGGGTTCCGCTGCACATGATTACACGGTGAGACAACTTCTACCATTCCTTGGCAACTCAGGGAGGAAAGCGCTTCCCGCAACCATTGGGCGTTGAATGTTTCCAAAGTTGGTTCATTGCTGACGAGTGATTGAGCTTCACCGCTACCAACCCCAATGTATCATGGAACCACCTCGTAGGTGGTATGACTTGCAAGAGGCATCATTTCTATTTTCTCTTATTTTTTAGGCTGGTGAAGAGCGCAAATACAACATGCCCTTCTTGACACTCTACGTGTATTTGATGGCGACCAAAAAGCTGATCGAATTTGAAAGACCTCGCAAGGTGCCACAGTGAGTCTTCCATCTTTCCATTTATCACTGGACAGCTGGTTATACTAAAAATGTGAAAGTAAAAGGCGAATGGGTGAACTGTGAGGTGTAGAATGGAAAGATGGATACTAAGTAGGTAGATGGATGGATGCAAGATGGAAAGCCTGCTGCCTCAGCTGAAGGGTATGAAGTAATAGGTGGTTGAAAAGCGACTCACAGATAGACTTTCTAAACGGAGCGTTTGGGGGATGGATTGAATCGTAGATGTGTCCAGCATGGATCAGACATGGATATCGAGTCGGCTGACCTAGAGAGTCTCAATGATTTCTTTTTCTCCCAGATTTGTTTCCTCCCAATTTTAATCTGGGTACTCTGGTCAATGGTCTTCTCCGGATATGTATATCAGTAATATTTTGAGAGCAAATAAAGCAATCTTTCCCTTCACCCAACGGCTCTACACATTTCTGACCCCTCAGCCATGTTTCGGCAACATTCTTCCTTTTACTTTCAACAAATCAACCACCCTAGTCTCAGTTCGGGTGCTTCACCTCGCAGAATTTAAACTTCCGCTGGGAAGACATCCACATTTCCTGCTCCCAAATCATAATGTCTAACTTCACATTTGTTTAAATTTACTGGACTACCTAGACATATCTATTTATCTAATTCTGTAGTTTCCTCCTTCTTGGCTACGTCATGAATCGGTGATAAATAGAAAGCCTGATGTTGTGGTCCCTGTAAACACCCGTGCAACCTCTGGGATTGGGCCATGCAAGACAGCTTCAATTGCTGGCCTCAGGCACTTTCTATTGCCGCAATGGGCAAGCCTCATAAATCCTAATTTTTTAGCCGCTAGAAATTGTAAGTTTCACGAGGAGAGATGTTCTTCAAATTTGTCATCTGTGGAAGTGGAAGGCAAATCTTTTGACTCCTCTGTTACCTTTTCCAATTTTCCCTTTATCCATTCCCTCTTTCTTAGTTTTTCAAAACAAATAACTACCTAAAGACCATTTGCGCAATAAGGGCTGATTGAAATATATTTCTTGCTTTTCCTCTGTGCCTTTCAAGGGATGCCCTCATGACCTTCTTTAAGTGGATTGACGATGAGCGCTTTCTGTGTGGATGGGTATCGCGGAAATGGGATTTTGCCTGGATTGTGGTCGGGGATGTGCCATCAAAAACCATGTATTCTGTGAGTTTTTGCACCGTCTTTGCTCATACCACATATGTTCGTCACGAACGTCACATATATGTGACGCGCAAAATTTTTACTTACCGGAAATGGACTGCACACGCATGTGGCGACTCAAGAAACCAATTAAATTAAGAGGACATAAAATTTGAAATCATTTGAAAATTGGATCCTAGTAGCTGAGTCTCCTCCAAATACCGATTTAGGTAACCCACAGTTTATCAGAGCTACGCGGCCACTTTACCAGCTTATTCAAACACCGAAATTTGATGTATCAGAAATTATTAAAAATCAATTCGTAGCAGACAATCTTTTTTTTGAAAAGCAAATTTATCTTTTCTTCTCTTTATACTTGTAGATCTACCAAGAGCACGCCCGATTCGGATGGGTAAACCTCGTAAGCAATTTTGTCCTGTTCTACTTCCCTCCTTTTGCTTCATGTCGCCCAGGTCATTTATTGAGCATTAAAGGGTGTCAGGCTAGATTCGGGTCACTGTCAAGGCTTAACGTGACATCCACCTATCTCCGTCTGACGCGCTGTTCAGTGGGCAGTCAATCCTCAGCAAAAATTGCTGAATTGAGATTTAGGCTATCCAAAGTGCGTGCTAAAAGCCCCGCAAGAATACCGTCCCATCACGTTCGCGGTGGAAAAGTGACAGACAGTGTGCACGTGTGTATCGCGCAAGCCCAGCCGACTACGACAACCACAACCATGGGGAGGAATGGGGGCCTCTAACAAGGCGTTTGTAAGGCGACTGAATTTGACTTGTGGATGAACTAAGTGTACAATCCTAAGTATTTAAAAAAGGGACGGAGAATTTCTTTTTAAACCCGCGGTTACAAGGGGTGAGAAGCTGACTCCCATTTAAAAGATTTGGCACTTATGCAAGATTGAAAACAAAAAATGGAGCTATCCTGTGATTAGTGAGACTTGACAATTGAAACGGCTTTCATTGCACAGCAAAGTCGTTTGCCAGAGGAACACTACTTATTTACCTCGTCGCCAAAATGAGTAGCCACTACGCCAAGAAATCCTTAGAATAAAAGCATAAACCGAGTTCACTGCAAAATTATCCCCCCAATGACACAAATTTCTTTTCTCAATAATTAAATTCCATGAATTTACTTGGTATCATTTGGTTTTTCCTTCCTTTAGCCAAACCAGCATTATCAGATGCCTATTGTTGAACTGGCAAAGCAATCTATTCTAACAGTTATCCCCAACTACTACAGCGCAAATGTGTATCGAGGCATCGCGAGGTTGTCTTTGGTAAGAAAATCTTCAAACTCTTTTGCAAAATTTTGTGAAAGCAAAAATAGGTATCAGAAACCCGAGTCGTTCAATTGGTTTAGAAAGGCTGACATGATTCCTTTCATTAAAGCAATACTACCAACTTTCTTTCCGTAAAACCGAGTAGTTTGTTAAAATCCTATTCTACTTATCAGCTCACCACTACCTTTCGTGGAGAAGAAACAAAACTATCCAAATTTCTGTTTCCCGAGACGGTAACCACTTTGTTTCCCTCACAGAACATATCGAGACATATGACCACTCAGTACCCACAGTGGGTGCATACGCCAGACTACGACGTGAGGGATATTTTGTACTCCTTCGGTGGCAAAGAGATCCTCTACACATCCATCGGGAAAGATCCCAAGGAGATGCACTTGTTCATGTAAGTCCTTCTACTTATTCAATTTAAGTAACCACAATTTCTCGACCCTTTTGACTTTAGAACACGAGGTGGCACCCAGGCCAAGTGTTTAACATGTGGTGACCCCAATTGCCATTTCAACTCGGCCAAAGTTTCTAAAGACGGCACCAATATCATTCTCGAATGCCTGGGACCATCTCCACCCTCGATTTATTTGAAGCGATTAGTCAGAAACGCGACAAATATTGGATCGCTGGAACATGTGGCAGTGGTGGTCAACAACACCAAACTGAAGGAGATGGTGGCGGTAAAGGCCATGCCTGTGACCAGGTTTGAAAATGTCACCATACACAAGGGAACAACTGCTGAGATCACCTTGAATGTGAAGTTCGTGCAACCGCCAGAATTAGTGGAAACGCACATTACCCAATATCCTGTCCTTTTGGAAACGTGAGCTTTTTCAAAATTAGCTGGGGACTTATACCCTATGCCTTGCCTTTTAATCTTTTTTTTTCAAATTTTGAACTACTTAATGACTATTTGGCTATTTTGTATGTCAATGGGTCATATATAAGTGACATTTGATGGAAATTGGAATGGGTATTTGTGCATTACCTGATTCGTGTGTGAGGAAAACATTTGAGGCATTTGAATGTGGAAGCAGGTGAATGGTCTGAAGGACTAGTAAGATAAGAGTGTCATTTGCCGTGTATCATACCACTATAACCGCTTTTCTCCCCTGAGACTTGTGCTTAACTACTCTGCCGCAGTCCACTGGCGCAGCATTCACATGAAGCTCCTTCGATGGATTCACTTTGCAGAGCGATTTTAGTTGACTTCCCCGATAACAACGGATTCCGAGATTTCTAATGGATTTGTTCCATAAGCTCCTGGTTGTGAAGCACCCCCAACGTCAAGTGGCCTCATTCCGTGCACCCGGCGAATTCATCTGCCACTTTAGCCTTGTTAGAAGCTAGACGCCTTCTGTCTGGGCTATGCTCAAATCCTTCCAGATTACGGGCATCGTGCTTTACAATGGTGCTCATGATACACCATTGAAAAGTTGGTGTTGGAAGCACCTTGTAGGTGCTGTTTCATCTCCACTTTGTGCCCTGCAAGTGTTCATATGAGGCCGGAGCATCTGCCTTGATGTTTGGCTGTCCAACATCGGAAGAATTACACACTTTAAAGTAACCGAATATATTAGTCAAAAGGACTCTCCAGTCCAACTCGACAACTGAATAAACCCTCATGCCCAATTGGTTTTGTAGGGAAATTTATGCCAAAAAAGGATGAAGCGATTTGGATTGCCTTGTGGGTCTTTTGCACAACATCCTCTTTCAAATGCAAAACCAAACAGTACCTCTACCAGCCTATCACTGTCACTCTCCATTCGTTTTTAGATACGGCGGTCCGATTTCTCAAACTGTGACAACAAAATTTGTTGCAGATTGGCAGTCCTACCTGGTGACACAGTTCAAGTTTGTTGTCATCTCAATTGATGGTCGAGGAACTGGCAATAGAGGCAAGCGATTTGAATCAGCCATCTACAAGAAGTTGGGGGTTGTAGAGGTTCGAGATCAAATAGATGGATTAAGGTAGGTGCTCGAAGTTAAAGGATGTCCTCCCCCTCCTCTTTCGTTGGAGCTTAACTTTACTAAAAATCTGGAATGCCACGGGTGTTCACACTAAGTCAGGGCACTGGAGTGTAGGCTGGGGAAGGGAAAGCTGTTCCCTCCTTACTCATTATCACATCCAGTCCAATTTTTTCGCCTTTTGGGGTTTGAATAATGTTTGACTAACTGCTAAAATCCTGTAGGATTGCCTGTTAGCTGTAGGGAATAGCTCGATCCTGCCCATGGATCTGTAAATTGTTTTACAACTAGATGCACCATCCATTTACTTTCTCCTGATCAAGGTAAAAGGCCATCTCAACAACGCGTCGTACACCAACTATTTCAAGCATTAAAACTCCACACTTGGGAATGATAATTCTTCCCTCACCAAAAGATTAATCTCTTATGTAATTTTACGGATGATTGCGTGCTGAAGTACGAGGATTAGGAATTTCGCGGTGCTGGCTAAGTTTCCACCAAAATGACAGTTGTAAGCAGGGTGGAGGTTATACCATAGGTGAGATTGTCACGAACAGAATTTCGTACTTACGGTCATTTTTGAGACGTCGTTGTCGTCAATTCCACTTTATGCCAGACATTTGAGCCTCCTACCACTATGAAAAAGACCAATTTTTCTCTCTACCACTGTGAGAAAATACCACTGAGGAGAGGTAGATGTCTCACCTTGGCTGAGAATGTCTCACCACACGAAATTGCAGAAAATGATTGACCTTGAGCTTGGGCAGTGACGATTGGCCCACTTAAAGTGGAGCTAACGCGGTCTCAACCAATCAGGAAAGAGTGGGTGTGAGACGATTTCCAGACTGCTCGCGCAGACAACCACGAAAATAAAACTATCAGGAGACTTGAACAGGGGCGTTTTAGTGCTGGAGTATCAGTAATTATCAGTAATGAGGCACATGTTTATTCATTATAGGTGTTACTAAACGGGCGTGCAATAATGGTCCCATCATCCAAAATTACACAAAACTTCGTCCCCTTTTTTGGAATCATTTCTTAGATTTTTACCCGCCATTCTTAAATCCAATTTCGTTTGTCTGTAAATTTAAGATGTTTTCTTTTTTTGTCAGGCAAATATTGAAGACTCATAAATACCTCAACAGGTCAAAAATCTGCGCCTTCGGATGGGTAAGCAAACCATCCTGCTTCAAAGTCATTAATTCTCCCACTCGGATGCCTCCCTCCCTCCTTGGTTATTCTAGACAAGGCTCCTTAACGGGTAGGGCTTTTTGCCACGATCCTCGGATTATCCTTGAAGAAGCTGCAGCCTGTAGAAACTGCTGAAACCAGTAGCATTGGTTGTTCAGTCAGGTATTTATGTCAGTGGCCACCGGAAACTTCTTTCCGTTAATATCACTCTTATCCTTTTTTTTACTTGTCACTGTTTTTAGATTTCCCTAAACTATTCCACGACTAGATTGGACACTTCCTCAACTGAGTTACTGGCTTTTATCACTGCTATGCCATTTATGCTGTTTTGAAGGGATCGAGAGAAGTCGTGGCCGTTTTCCATGCTAAGTTGTCTGGAGGTTAATTACCCCTCTAACTTAGAATAGAGTAGGGAGTTGGTTGTAAGGGGAGCAACTGCTGAGATCCCGTTGTCAATCACGAGCCAATCAGTCAATCAGCAAACAATCGAGGAGCGGTTTCGTTTAACTGCCCAATATGCTTGAGCGTGCACCCTGTTGAGCTCCTAATGAAAGTATCCAGTAGATAAAGGCTGTTGGAACAAAGGCCTATTACGTTATCAGCCATTGCACAACCGGGACTCTGTATCTGCACACCTACTCACCGATTAAAACATTGGATCCTCTAAGTTGTCCCTTCCTTAAGTATCTACTGTCCCGTTAAGTGATCGCCAGTCAGGAGAAAGTTGCCAGGGCTCTCAAAGAAAGAAAATTTGTGGACGCTTGCAGAAATTGTAAATGAAAATGCTTTTTACTTCGGTAAAGGGGTGGGGGTATCAGGAGCATTCAACAGCATGCGAGGTTAGAAAAGGGCAAAATGGTGGCATTTAAAGCTTATCCTAGGCAAGATCTATGTGTCACATAGGTTCTAAGATTCTCCCTTCAAGTACAGGTCTCAAAGAGTTACTACATTGCATACTTCACCCTTAGGAAAGGAGGAAATTGGGAGGTAAAATCGAGAAGGAGTATCATGTTGCCAGTAGCGACACACACTTGTATGCCGTCTTACTGACTCCTGCCAGCTGTACACAAATCAACCTGCCAACTTATTTTTTGCAGATTCGATTAATGCAATGTAGAATTTGGTGACTTTCCATCGCATTTACCTCCCCTTTTCCAGTTGTGGAGGGAATGGACTGAGAAGAAATGTTAACCCTGTGTATTTGGATGGTGTCTACTAAAGGGAGAAAATTGTTCCATTTTAGTCACTCCTTTTTAGACGTGTTTGTTTAAAGGAAATTGGCGATGTTCGAATTCTACCCCACGCCACTCATCAATGCGAGTTTGCTGCAGCTTCTTAGGGCATGTACAGGTTTAGGAGAGGTGTGTAATTAGAGTTGTTAATTGTTGGGCATCTAGAAGGGCTGATGTTGCCCAATCCACTCGAAGCAAAAGAATGCGATCCAAATAAAGGAGAATTTATGGTTTATTCAGTTAGAAAAGTTGCCGGGATTATAGATGGACAATGACAAATCGTCCCTTCTCATCAGCATTTGTCGCATATCTTAGGTGTTAGAAAAAGTAAATTGGTTTGTTCTACTTTTCCCCGTTTAGGATTAAAATGAGGTTTTCTCGTTTTCTGCATTTTAGTCCTACGGTGGATTTGCGGTGGCAAACATTTTGGGTCATCCCGATAACGACTTCATACTTTGTGGCGTCGCCGTTGCACCCGTCACCGATTTCCGTCTCTACGGTAGGGCCATTGTCAAAGGCACATTTTGTCTCACAGTTGGTGTCAACTTCTTGTTTAACTTCTAGGCATATGCGGAAAAGTTTAGGAAAGTTAAGAGCTTCATTTAGCTGGAAATACGAAGTTAAATGATGAAATTTGTTAGTAGTACTACAACTATAGCCAAATTTCTTGATTTAAAAACATTCTTGCTGTAGTCTTTGGCATTACGTTTCACTCCACCCGTCATTAAAAAACCCCTCAGGTCAAGTAAAATTTAAAAGTATTACAGCTTTTCAAATCCTTACACTGAAACAAAATTCGTTGATAGTATTGACTGCGTGGCTCAAAAATTGATAAATCATTTATTAAGGAATACACTTTAAGTATAAAGCTTGAAAAGTTACTCTTTATCTTTAGATGCGGCCTACACGGAAAAGTATTTGGGGCCCTACTCTGAAAACTCACACGCATACGAGGTAGTTCATTTTCAATTTTTTAAAGAAAACGATTTAATTTCGGTCTGTGCCCTTGCGTTTAAGTTGGAGTTATTTGAGGAAATCTAGTCAAGTGTTGGAATTATTCCAAATTTCTTGACTTAGTAGAAACTCACTTATTATGCTGCATAATTTTAAATTCCGTCTATTTTTTAAACACTCATTTAAACTAAAAAAGCAGACAAATGATTAACAAATTGCCCACTTTGGATATCTCAGAGAATTTTTTATTAGACGAATTGGCTCGCAAATGATGGTTGATAATTTCTAAACTGCTGCTCGTTGACATGTTTTTTTGTGTTAGGCCTAACACTTTATCAACTACTTTTACTTTTATATTTTGTTTCTTCGGTGTAAAACAGCGAACTCATGTGACCCAGCTAGCGCGCAATTTTAAGAATAAGGATTTCCTCATTATTCACGGAATGGCTGATGGTAAGCTAAAGCGCATAACACTTTATTTTCACTCATTAAATCACCTCTAAAAAATTATGGTTTTTATTTTCCTCAAAACCTTTCCAGATAACGTGAATCTCATTCACTCAGCTTTGCTCATCAAGGAATTGATTCGGCAAGGTGTTGGGTTTGACATGATGGTACGTTATACAAAACAAAACGCAACCTGCGTTCAAAACCAAAAAATTCTTTTATTTGGCGTAAGTAATTTTGTTAAAGAAAAGTAACAAAGAAAGAATAGATAGGTTTATTAATGGTGTGCTGAAGAGCGGAAATAGTAGACGTAAATTCAGGCGGTGCACGATGAAAGTCCTTCCCTACGCGTAACCAACTATGAGCCTTTGAACACGGTAGCATTAGCTTAGGCAAATTCGAGGCATATCGTTTTGCGTTCCTTGGGCTGCGAACTGCCTATTACCTACACGTAATAGCTGCAGAACATGTTTGCAATTGACTAAAATTTCCATTTCATTTTCTAGTTTTATCCGGATGACAATCACTTCATCGCTCAGAGGCATTTTCGTCCGCATTTGTGGCGCAAGGTGATTACTTTCATTGTTGACAGCGTAAATCGGACTTCAATTCGCCACCGACACAGTTTTGATGATTTTTGAGACACCTCCTTCCCTCTCCTGATGTGCACACCCTATCAGTCACCATCATCCGACTCGTGACCTCTCGAGCACACAAACCCATCTCGCAAGGCCTAAATCAGGCAATAACAAGATGGAGAAGAAGCTAGGCATTCCCATCATCCCTTAGATTGGTTGTCTGTGTGGTTTTTCCAACGAAACAATTGTGCATATGTATATTTTATATTGTGGACCCGTTATCATCTCTCCTGAATTAAAAACATCAACACAGAGCCGAAATAATGTGTACAATCAGCATAATGTGCGATAGTTTTACTGTAAAAGTATTTGCTCTCATTTGTGGATTTACTGTTGGTATGTAGGTTACGTAACGCAAAAACTCGAAAAGATAGGTTTGCATACCTGGTGTCAGGAATGTGAAATTCATCATTTGTTCCATTGTGGAGTCCGAGTTGATGTGTGTTTTTCAAACTCAAATGGACAATCGGAAGGAAAACTTTTACAGAGTGTGAAAGTAGGCTACCTTTTCCACTCATCCTTCTACGTAGATTTCCAAATTTATCAAGCAATATCTGTAACTCTCCTTGGCATGAGAAGAGCTGGAACCTCTCGGGTCATCCCGTGCAATAAAGTGATCCTTGCGCACCACTAAGAGGGAGACTTTGCTCACTGTCAGCTCTGAAGGGACTGGTTTTATGTGCGTGTTCGCCGCAGGACAGGTTATGCGTCGATTAGAAGTTTTACGTGCTTTCTTGAGTTTTTTACGATACAATCACAACCACGACAAGTGAATTGAATCGCAAGGGTCAGGTTTGAGACTGACAAGTGTATAACTGGCTTTAAAGCGTAAACGACAGCCATCGGACTTACCGGGATTGGGCACCACACCATTGTGATGTGCCTGAACCTTCATCATTGCGCATATCCGTAGGACTAGTGTCATCGTTCATATGCTGACTCGCTCTGTGTGTAGAGCCAATGCTTTTAAGGAGGCCGTGCATTTTACGCTATATCCCCTTCGGTCTTCAGACGTCCGCCTGCCTCTTTGTGGCACAATTTAGTGCAACAGCTTGTGCCATACATAGTTGACGCAGGAAAAGAACAAATTGATGCATCAACCGTATTCTGAATCTGCCGCATTTGAAGTGGTCAGTTTGTGGGAGAAATGCATGACCGTGTCACAAGGCCGACCCAAACAGGCATGACGAGAGGCCAACATGCACCCCCCTCATTAGCGATGCCATAGGCAACTCCCGTTCTTAAAACCACAGAACTGGCAATAAAACCCCTATTGTTATTAAATCGCAATAAGAGACCACTTGAGAAGCGCGAAACAGGTCTCAAGAGCGCCCGCCTCCTAAAAGGTGGCAAATGTCAACACACGCATTGCACTCATGGCGACTGCCACCTACACTCACATTGAGAGTGTGAGTCACATCTCTGCCTATGACATGTATTTTAACTCAAGCAGATTGTCACTAATACTGAGGCTCCTCCCTTCAACTCTGTGTGCTCAACTTTAGTGAACAGAGACACTGTCCAGTCAATTTCCTACTGTCGCTCAATTCGCTAAAATGTCCTGGTAACTAGATGCGTGTGTGTTTGGCTGCGCAGACCTTGACCTGATGGCGACATCGCACAATGTGCCTGATGGGCCTGCCCGTAGGGCCCAGACGCATGACATGCCTGTGAGGTGAGGTTAGCCCACTCGTGACTTGTAGAGTAAGAGCGATTGTGTTGACCCCCAATATAGGCGGTTTGTCACGAACCCGTCTCCGATTCGGCCCCTCCGTAGTAAAGCCAAGCAGAGATACCGACACCAACGAATGTAGAAACACACGTAGCGAGGAAAGGTGAGTGAATTCCAGCATTTTTCAGGACTCGCTTGAGGCTTAGCGTTTATCACCTATACCACTGTAGCACTTCTCGGTTTCTCGAGGTCACAGCACGTCACATCTAGTGGGGTGGCGAACATAAGAACTATGCGATCAAGACATCAAATAGTCATGCATTTGTCCTGTTATTACTATAAACACACCTCACTAGGCTACAAATACTTAGTCATGTGACATCTGATCAGTCTCGTTTTAACAGATGGTGTGGCCAAACGATGTCATGTCACACCTTGTGATATGGATTTATTAGACTAGTGAGGTCGTTGTAAAACAACCCTGCACTAACACCACATGACCTGAGAGCATCAAATCATTAAGTCGGTTAGTGGTACCCAAATTTTGCTCCGATATACGTGTTCTGTCAAATACTGGCTTGATATGGTACTCATGACGCGACAACTTTTTTCATCAAATCTTTAATCATCACCGCCTTTCCAACTTTACCTGCAAGGCAGCATGTTGGTAAGCATTAATGAACGTGAATGATAGCGAATGAGGAATGATAAGTGCCAGGATTTGGTCAAATGAGAGCAGAGGTGCCCACCTCCATGATGTGTACTTCCGACGACAACAAGACGTTCCATGAGGCCCTCTATGCTTAAGACATCAAAAGTGGAAGAGCAGATCCACTTTGTCATTGATCTGAAAATGGAGAATGGAAATATATTTGATACGATTGCATCAGTAGGCAAATCACACCGACAGCATAGATGGGCCTTGGGAGGGGAGAGCTTTCAGTACAAGCAGGCAGCTACTGCTTGTGTGCTCTTGCAGCAGCGTCTCCTCCTGCACTGCAATATGGGCAATCTACCTTGCCCAATCCATACAGGTGGCCGGAGGAATGCAGAGTGAATCTGCTCAGTGACAAATATAATTGGACTTCAAATGACCCAAGCACACTAAAATGCTTCACTAGTTATTCCTTCTCTGTGTTTCTCCTTATGGATGTCTAAGCCATGGCCAAATTAGTGGCATGATGATTTGACATTTAACATTTTTCCTGTGTGCATTTTAAAACGGTGACCAGGTGGGTCTAGTTTGACGCTTAACAACCCAATTCACCTCATCAATGTCGATAATCTAGGCGCATGCGGTGAGCCAATAAAAAGCCAGCTCCGATTTGATTGGCTCGAGCAAATCTACTTATAGCAGTGGTGCCAGCTACTGAGATCATTCGGCAGACGAGAAAGCGAGACTTGCGTGAGCTAAAACATGCAGTCAAAGAAGTTTGATGTGGTAAAGTTTATTTCCTGCGGAACCTACTCCATTGTCTATGAGGTAGCCTACCCGCAGAGAAATAAGGAGAAGGTGACCGCGACCATGACCACGAAGTGGGCGCTAAAACGCATTTATTTGCAAAACGAATCTGCTGTTCGTTGTGCTCTTCGGGAGCACCGTATCCTTGTGCGGCTCGCCCTGGCGAAGGAGCAATCGCCATTTCTAGGCACCCTGCTGCAGAGCTTTCGAATCCACGGAGGTCCGGCCTTTGTACTGCGCAAAGGAAGTGGCTTTGACCTGCAGGATCTCATCTCAAATGTTGGCTTTCTCGGTGAGACTAATGCGCGATTTTACAGCAGCGAGATTGTCTGTGGTCTGGAGTACCTTCATGCCATTCACATCGTCCACATGGATGTCAAACCCACCAACATGCTTATTGCTGATTCGGGTCACCTATTTATCACGGACTTTGATCGCTCTTACGATATGGCACGGGACGTGGGACCCCCAAAGAAGGAGGACTTTACCGGAGCCCCCTTCTACATGGCACCCGAAATAAAAAATCAGGTAGAAATCACAACACGGGCGGATGTGTGGAGCCTGGGCATCCTCATGGCCTGCATCATGTACGGTCACGTCACTGTGCATAATTGGCTGTGTACTGGTCTTTTGTTGGAAGATTGTTTGCCAAATGCCTCCATACCTCTACGCAACTTCTTCAAAGCCTGCCTCAGGCGCAACCACAATACGCGTGTGGACATCGGCGGTGTCAAGCGTCTTGAGTTCTACAAAGACGTCAAATGGGAAGAAGTGGTGGCATGCACTATGAAACCACCTTATCACCCCTCCAAATTGGCAGTCTTTACGCCTCGAAGGAAGTACAACCTTAACCCTTACGACTCTAGGCTTCTTGCTGCTGCTTACGAAACAAACATGCCACTGATAGTCCAAAGTCTTCGATGCATTCGTGACAAGCACGGGGTACGTTGGTTGAAGGAAGTGCCACCAAGTCCCAAGATACGAAGGCGGGCTGGACTGACAGCTGAGAGGATTGACAAACTCTTCGCTGAATTCGATTTCATCCATCCTCTCTTTCAATCTTCCCATGGAGTCGACGAGAAGCGGACTGTCAATGATGACGC